ACTGCTACTGCTACTGCTGCTGCTTGCTACTGCTACTGCTAGCTACTACTACTACTACTACTACTACTACTACTACTACTACTAATAGTACGACGCTAGGCTGCTAGGCTACGATATCATGCTAATAAGCTACTCTGCTATTAAGCTGCTGCATCTACGCTACAAAGACACTAATGCCATTAAGCTACTAAGCTACAGTACTACTGTTTCTACGACGACCACGATGACGACGACTACTACTACTACTACTACTACTACTGCAGTGCTACTGCTTCGGCTATCCCGCCTGCCTACTGCCACTGCAACTGCTACTCCTAACCCTACTCCTACTCCTACTCCTACTCCTACTCCTACTCCTACTCCTACTCCTACTACTACTCCTACTACTACTACTGCGACGACTGCTACTGCTACTGCTTCTGCAACGACTGCGACTACGACTACTCCACGACTACCGTGACGACGACTTCGACGACGACTGATACTTCCACTAGCAAATACTGCTGCTGCTACTGCTGCAGCTGCTGCTACCTCGTCCACGACTCTTGCATAGTGCAACTAAGAGGACGTGGTCTGAATGCGAGCTTCGGGATGCAGACGATCGAGGCTGCCGATGGGAGCACACATTGTGTCAGAGCTGAGAAGTGGGCTCAAATCTGTACCTGCTTGCATGCGTGAAACCAGATGACGTCGGTTCCAGATCGATGGGGCATGGGAGTAGGCACAAAAAGCGGCTTGCAGTTGTGTCTGAGTGTTCGGGGGATGGTAGCAAGGGTCCTGATGTGTTGGGCAGCAGGCGTGAACCGCTATGGGGTGACAGAGCTCAAATCTGGAAGAAGCCAGAACGGACCCTTTTGAGCTGCTTGATGCCAAGATACTTGCATGTACCATCTCAGGTAGTGTCGTCCTAGGTAGCTCCGTTCTGATTGTTTCCAATCTGTCGACGCAAATCCGGGGGAGCATGCTGTGTTCCGTGCGAAACACATCGTTATGCACATCAGACAGGCCAAACTGCCACCTTTTTTACGAACATGTGTGTGATAACTTTCCAGATCTGCTTGGAGAACGAATGTCCTATGCTTTTGCAAAATGAGCATCATGATCGAGCACAGTATATAGCTGTTCCGCTAAACCCTAAACCGTCAGCATCATGATCGAGCACAGTATATAGATGTTTCGATGTGAGCACTGCGAAATGGAAGCCGATTCGACAAACACTTCCTGTCTTACAACACCCCGAACTCTAGCACATCAGACGGGTGTGTCTGGTGCAAGGGGCGTTTAACCTGCCACTTATGCCGAAAGAAGAAGAAGGGTGGGAAAGCGAAAGAGAGAGTGAGACAGTCAGAGTTAGGTAAGAATTTCGGTTGCGTATCCTCCTGTAGCCCCTATAACATACATTCCCGTCTATAACCGAAATATATAATGCACCCCAGAACCGGCCCAGTTTGCAGTCTGCGAGATCTGCCGTCTAGGCCCCTCGAAATGTGCCGTCTAGGCCGAAACATCCTGGCCAGGGTCTACTTTTTAGGGGTCTAAACAAACCAGCAAGGTTTAGGGCTTTGTTTGGGGCAAATAAGTATTACTACTCAGACCTCTACAGTTGGGTTTGAAATTTCGGGGAAATTTTAAACCCTGGCAGGACAGCACGGAGACATTCATCTTCACTTTATCCAAGCCCTCTGGGCCTGCCTCCGTTGTGAAGCGCGACATCGTCAAGGACAGTGCGCAGGCATGGGTCGAATACGGGTTTCAGGTAATAGGGTTTAGGGTTTAGGGTTTAGGGTTTAGGGTTTAGACGTATTTTGCAACTCTCGCATGCGGTTGGGCCCGTCCAGTTTAACATAGTCATGCGTTCGGGTTTGCAGATCCCGTTACAAGACCAACAGTTCTGAAACCGGGGCCAACCGTACCAACAAGTTTTGCGAATCTGCGAGTCTGCGAGCTCCGCAGAAACATATTGTTGCGACGTGGAGTTTCAATTTCAGTGGTCTGCCAGTACTACAAGCTGTTTACGTATGTAAATGTATACTAGTGTGTATATATACATATACGTATAATTTTGAAACAAAAGCAGATATAGGTATAGTTATAGATAAATTCATTATACATATGTACATTGAGGAGATTACTAAACCCTAAACCCTAAACCTGAAGCCCTACTCTACAGTCAAGACTGTGAAACCGTCTCTCCAGGACCAAGTGGTCGACTCTCGGCGGCGCAAAGACAAGGTTTTGCGCTTCCGGTTTAGCCCCGAAGCTAGGATAAAGGCTGATGTATAGTACTGTAAAGTATAATCTAAGAGTTAAAATGCGAGATATAATGAAATGGATTGAAATAGTATTTCACAATATAATTTGTTATGGTAGAGTCTAGATAACACGGTAGACTACAGCAAGATGCAGCCAGGTATGATACAACAGCATGTAGACCAGTAGATTGAGGTAATAGTTTTGGCCTAGGCTTAGGGTTCAGGAATGTTCCGGACCTGTACGTGGTTTGGACGCAAAAGGGTCCTACGGTTGATGATATAAGTCCTGCATGACCCATAATAAGGAATATAATATGCCATAATTCCTCTAGTTTAGGAACCTTTAAGGTAATGCAGGTTTTATATCATCAACAGTAGGCTGAGAATTCTTGTTGTGAAAACCATGGCACCTGGAGCTTAGGGCTTGTACCTGGCTCTCGGGGTTCTGGGAATCAGGTTTCGGGGTGCTTGATTTCAGAAATATACCTTAGGGTTTAGGGTTTAGGTTTTTTGATTTCAGAAATGTTCCCTAGGGTTTAGGGTTTAGGATTTCCGAACTGTTTCCTTAGAGTTGTCGACTGGCTCGAGTTACGACCCCTCCACCACCTGAAGAGCCCGCCTGTTCACAAAGAGGCTCAAGAAACAAAGACCTTTCCTAAACCCCAAATAAAGCCCTAAGCCCGTTAAGAGAGTGGGTTTCTTTTTTTTTCATCGGATGTACGAGGTGCAAGGCCAATGGTTAGGGATGCGGTGGCCTCAGGTTGTGTAGGGTGGCGTCTAATGCAGGGGCCAAGTAATTACCACTACTATTTTAGGTGTTCTTTATTATAATTATTGTATAATGGGCCCCAAAACCCTAGTCTAATTATTAAGGCCCCTATATGACCAACGTGGCTGCAGAGAGATGGGAGGCTGCAATGGTCATGTCGTAAGTGCCGCAGAGCACGAACAACAGGAACAGCATAAGCGTTAAAGAGATAGCCGCTAGAAGTAAGACGTCCGGTCTAAACCGGAATCCGCATAAAATTGCAGTATTCCAGGATGCTAGTCACAGTCCTTGCGCAGCGCGAACCATTGTGTCTTGGGTCCGGTGGCTGGGAATCGGTTCCAGTTAGGGGTCGGGTAAGTGGCAATAATACACCCTTAGAATCCCTGGCAAGTTAGAGTACAGTCTATCCCAAAAACCTATTCTCATTATTCAGGTCCCCACTATATGGGTTGGGGGTTTCAGGTTTCGTGCAAAGGCGCCAAAGGGTCTGCCCTTTCCCTGGCTGGGGCTTCCCCAGAGTGTTGATGCTCGAAACAGCCCAGTACGACCAAGGAGTGCAAGTCGAAGGGAGAGTGGCTGGAAGCCACTGTGCTTGAAGTTTCCACCTGGTCGACCGAATCGGACGATGAGGAGCCGCAAAAGCCTTGAAAACTGCAAGTGATCGTTCCGGCTCGTTGGTTCTATCTGGTTTTGTTTAATTTAATCGCCTTTTTTGACGTGTCCTATCGTGTTTAGCCCGTTCGGGTTTAAGGTCGAGATTTGATGCGCAGGTGTTTGCATGCAAGGCCAAGGTCTTCAATGTGAAGGCCCTGTCCCGCAGTGTAGGTAGAGGACGGAGCATGAAAAGTTGCGCAAGGAATGGGCTGCAGAGATAATGCGCCTTACCAGTTTCAGAAGGTGGTTCATCGAGGGTTTAAGGCTCAATTGATGCTGGTCCTTCTCCCTTGCACGGGCAGCTGCAAGCTACACCTGATCTGTGGTTGAAACTGACTCGGCCAAGTTTAGATCGCGTGGCCCTCCTGTACTTGGAGGCCCGGGGGACTTAGTAAGTAGAGTCCTAAGTACCATAAATGGAGTTACCCCAATTATAACCCTATTTATAACCGACTTACTAAGGCCCCCGGGCCTCATCCTGTATTGTCAGGACGAGACCGACGGTCGGACTCTGAAAGTCCGCTTCAATCGCGATGGCACCGAGTCCACTGTGCTAGCCTCCTGACATTACATTTAGGGTTTAGGGTTTAGGGCAGCAGGGCGAAGTATAGGGGTGCGAGTAGTTCTTATTAAAGTCACCGTTTACTGCGTCCCAAACCCCTATTCCAATCCTGGAGTCCCCCCTGTTGCGGTTAGGGGGTTTAGGGTTTAGGGTTTAGGGTTTAGGGTTTAGGGTTTAGGGTTTAGGGTTTAGGGCTTCCACTCTGAAGAGTCAGAATGAGTCATTGTCAATTGCCTTGCCCAAAGAGAACACGATGTAGTGCTTGTCTTGGCTGTTCCTGTAGCCCCAACCTCACACGATAGTAGGTGATGACCTCCTACATGCAGGGTTCAACCCCAATCCTTATCCACTTGTTTTCTGGTTTTGGCTTTTACTTGTAGCCGCTTCAACCCTTAACCCTAGACCCTCACATGGTACGCTATTGGATGACAAGTTATTCCCGTGACCTTTGGCATAGGGTCATGGGGCTTGCACCATGAGGGGGTTTCCGAAAATAGGGGACCCTAATATAGTACCTTAAAGAGTAGGACCCTTATTACAAGGACCCCAAAATAAGGTACACCAAATTTTCGGAAACTCCCATGAAGGGATGACGGAGACTTGCTTGGTCCGCTTGGAGTCTTTACCACGGCGCTTGTTTACTGCTCGGCTCTAACTTCTAGCTGACAAGATCAACAGGTTTAAGGTTTAGGGTGGTGTGCATGTCATGGTTACCATGTTTTTACTATTGTGATCAGCATGCTAAGCCCTAAACCCTAAACCCTAAACCTAACAAAACCCTAGACCCTAAAACTGTAGAAGTCAAAGCCGAACACTGCAATGCGGGCTCGTCCTTGCTAAGTAGGAGGCAAAAAAACCCTAAACCCTAGACCCTAAACCCTAAACCCTAGACCCTAAACCCTAAACCCTAGACCCTAAACCCTAAAGCCTAAAAGTGTAGAAGTTTTGTTTGGGCAGTATCGGCCCGAAAAGGGACTTGACTAAGCCAAAGCTTTCAGAGTGTCGCGGCAGGGGCTCCGAACCCAAACTGTGACCGGTTTAGGGTTAAGGGGTTTAGGGTTTAAGGTTTAGGGTTTAGGGCTTAGGGTTTAAGGTCCCAGTACTCCCTATTATAGGACTTTGGGTCCAATTTTGGGTACCAAAAGCCATTAGAAACAAGGATTACTTGGACCCTTACTGTTACGATTGCTGGTATGACGAGTTCTTATCCTGATTACTATGATTAGTAATACCACTGTCTTTCCAACCATACCTAAAACCCTAAACCTTAAACCCTGCAGTTCAGCTGTGATTGCTCACCCGGTAAACCGAGAGGCCC